ACCCCAATGTTGATAGCAACACTATCAACAATAGCCACAGTACGGAAAGAGCCCAAATGTCCATCAATGGATGAATGGATAAAGAATATGTGGCATATATATACAATGGAGTATCACTCGCCAATCAAAAAGAATGAAATCTTGCCATTTGCAACTATGTGGATGGAACTAGAGGGTATTATGCTGAGCAAAATTAGTCAGAGAAAGACAAACATCATATGACTTCACTCATATGAGGACTTTAAGATACAAAACAGATGAAAATAAGGGAAGGAAGGGAAGCAAAAACAGGGAGGGCAACAAAACAGACTCTTAAATATGGAGAACAAACAGAGGACTACTGGAGGGGTTGTGGGAGGGGGGTATGCTAAATGGTTAAGGGCATTAAGGAATCTTACTCGTGAAATCATTGTTGCACTATATGCTAAATTGGATGCAAATTAAAAATAATAAATTAAATAAAATGGTAAAAAATAAAGGCAGTACAGGATAAACAGAGGAACAAAAAATGAAATAAATGGAAAACAGCAAGATGGCAGATATAAATTCAACAATATTAACAATTACATTAAATGTAAATGGATTGAACACTCCAATTAAAAGCAGAAATTGTCAGGATGAATAAGAAAACTAAGATCCAACTAAACAGACATACTTTAAAGTAAAAGATACAAATAGGTTGAAAGTAAAAGGATGAAAAAAGATATACCATGCAAACAGTAACCATAAGAGAGCTGGAATGACAATACTAATATCAGACAAAATAGACTTTAAGACAACAGTGTTACTAGACATAATGTGGGGCATTTTATAATGATAAAAGTGTTAATTTGTCAGGAAGATATAACAATTATAAACATATACATACCAAAAACAGAACACCAAAATACATGAAACAAAATTAAATAGAAAAATAGAAAATCCAACAATAATAGGAGACTTCAATATGGTATTCTTAGTTATCAGTAGAACAACTAGGCAGAAAATTAGCATTGATATAGGAAACTTAAATAACACTATCAGCCAACTTGACCTTATTGATATCCTTAGAACACTC